TTGGAATAGCGAGTTCAATTGTCTTTAGGTACATGTCTGGGGAGGAATGAATCCATTTGATCCCGTTGTCCTTGAAATACTCGGCGCAAAATCTTTTGTTTTTGTCTATCGAGAAGCTAGAAATGCTGCCTCTATCTCTTGCTCAATGCGACTGCAGTCTTCAAGAACGCATTGAAGTAGGATCATGGCCTCCAGTGCTTCCCTTAAAAGCCTGAGCAGACTTCTCCATGTAGTGCTCTCCCTGCAGGATTTAATCGTTTCCCGTATAGCTGCGTTTTCATGCCGGAGCTGGTCAATGATGTCGAAATCGGCGGCTTTCTGATACTCGTCGATTTTGTAGAACAAGGAACCGACTTCAGACCTCTCGTTGAAAACGGGTCGACAGCCTCTCTGCTCTCCAGGTTCTCACAAAAAGAAGTCATTTCAGACGAGGAGTATCTGCTATGTTTTATGTTTTGGAAGCCATTCTTGTAGATAATGCAACGCAGAAGCAAAGCTGCCAGCTCCAAAATGGGGAAAAGTAAGGATCTGTGGATGAATGGGCTGTAGGTAAACGAGGGTGATTGCGTCGATGCAGATGTGGATGATGGACGAGGTCGCGAAGAGTTGCCCAAGTGGTTGTTGCCCGGCGAGGTCGAACGGTCACGTGGGAGAAGTGATGCTGATTGTTACAGCCAACGTTGGATACCAGAAATTCATATATACCACAAGTGATTATTTCCAAAGCCTACTACGAGCAGACCAGCCAGTCAACGCCAAGAGAAAGCACCGAAAATAATAAAAATGCCAGGGATCTATGTGACATATCCTATCAGACGCCATATATAAACATAACAAACCCGATCTAGTTAGTTAGTAGTGATGAACCTCACTCAAAATCATCATCCGGTGATTTTTCTTTGAGTTGGACAGGACTAGGAGGTCCAGCCTCGAGAGGGGCTGCCCCGATCAACGACTTGCGATTGGCACGGTGATCCAGCTTCTCACTTGTCTCCTCCGTCCCGAGTTGTCCTGCGACAGCAGTCTCATCGCTGGTATCGACTCCCTTCGACTCGAGATATTCCACTTTCACAGCGTGTTTCAGACCATCGATGAAATTCTGCATTTCACGCATTGGAAACACGCCTTCCCTCTCCAGGACTTCCGCATAGAGGCGATCTGCTTCTTCCAGACAAGCAGATGCCAATGATGGTTTCCCCAGTTGCAACCAGGAATCAGCAGCGAGAACGCTCCACATTGCGGCTTTTCGGCGACGGGATCCCCATTTGGCACCGCCTGTTCCAGTCTTGGATGCGTAGCAAGCGGAGATGCGCTCAGTGTAAAGAACCTTGCCAATGGGGCCAACAAGGCCCAGATCCATGATGCGCATAGTCCATTTCGAAGCCATTTCCGTGGCGGAGCCTCCCCGAGACTTGAGAAGCTCAACCCCCAACGTCAGAACGCGTAAAGCGTTCAGAGAATCCGAGCATCGGGTGAGATATGAGTAGCAAGACGTCTCGAGCATCTGATCAATGCTTTCCAGCTTATTCTTGGCTGTTGATGCCAAAGGATTCAGCAGCATACTGACTGCGCACATTTCATGGGCCCCTGCATGGTACTTCCATGCTTTGTCATTCCCATAGTCTGACCGTATGAGGTCGTAGGTGGATGCGGAAAGTTTCCAATCGCGGAGCATGAACGAGAAATCGGCCAGCTTCCGCAGGATCGCTTCGGGCACTTCAGGTCTGTAGAAGCCCAAGGAAGAATCGTAATTGCCACTCACTCCGCCATACCCGGACCCTGAGGCTCCTGACCTCGAGCTTGACCCAAATCCAGCCCACCTTCGTGACATGGACATGAATCGACCGCTGATACCACGTCTCTTGGAAGCAACCTGATCGTTCCAGAGTGCAACCTTGTTCTCCATAAAGGGAATCACAGACTGCACAACCAACTCTCGCACGAATGTTTTAATGGCCGTGACGTCACTCTCAAAGAGATATGGGACCTCGGTGCCCAAATCTATTAACGGATTTGTCTCGTTCATTTTTAAGAGGTCCTCCGCCGGCGAGAGCCATTCGCACGGGGGGACCTCGGTACTATCATCATCCGTTACTACGCACTGGGTGCTCCGGAGCCTCAGCAGGTGACAATGAAGTCCAAAATGTCGTTTCATCTGGTCATATAGCCGTGTAGACTCGGTAATGTCGTCGTGATCTTCATCGTGAACAAGGACATAGTATCGGAGGAACTCTGGATGAACCCACGCCGGCGGCCGCTTGCTGGTCTGAGAATACAACTGCCTTAGCGATTCCAGAGGGGATTTATTGTGCGAACTGATCGCAATGACGCATGCCACGGGGTGCGCAAATGTTTCGTGCGGGGTTGGATAGCCAGCTGACAAGAGACGACGTAACAGCAATTGGTAGAGAGGGGACGCAGAGGGCCCATGTCCGATGGGAGGAAGACTGAGACGAGACCATCGATTCGTAGACTCGTCTGCAGACTCCAGTTTTCTCTTCAACACCTCTTCGATCTGCGCTAAAGGCGACTCCTGTGTGGTGTTCGCGGGACCCGGATGGCGGTCGTGTGCTGCCAGTTCAACAAATCTCACCCCGTAGTCTTCCCAGCCACGGCTGGAGCCAACGCTGTCGCGTATGACCACTTTGCCCGGGACTTTCTCCCCAAATGGCCTCAGCAGCTCGCGCAAGCCACCTTTGAAGCCCTTTTGTCTCACCAATGCCTCTGTATCATCGGACGCATAAACCGCAATCGCCGGAGAGAAGGCACGGATTATGAGCGAACGTATGTCATCTGAGCCATCAGGGAGCACCCCCAAAGGCGACCCGACCGATGATCTGTTGAGCGAACTCGATATTCTGCCAATTGGCGACGCGGAGCGGGACGGGGTATCGGAAGACGCAGGAGAGAAGGGCGCGGTGGGCGAGGAAATCACTTTGGACTCTCCCAGTTCCAGATTGAGCGACGACTGACGCTTGTCCGTCACTTTGGCCTTGGGCACCGCGCTGGGCGCTCCTGGCGAGAAGGACGGCGGGGGCTTGACCGGGGTCGCATCTTCCGGTGATGTCATGGACAGCTCAGGAATTCCGTGATCTGGCGGAGTGACTATGCCAGTATTCCCCCAGCTGCATCTATGAGATATTCAGGAGACAGATAATCGAATGGACGCAAGGAGGGCCGGGACTCGCGGGATGCCTGAGGGAAGTGAGAGATAGCCCGTTGGACGGAAGGAGTCACAGCAAGGCGACAGCCGAGAGAGCGGGATGCGCTGGCATCGTGCGTCCGCCACGCAGCGAAAGCACTATGCCCTGCTCTGCGCGTACGTCAGATTATTATTTTTAGCTGTGCAACCTGCAGAGCTAAATTAACTCGTTCGCGAGAATTGTTCGCTCGAGAGATCTGATTGGCAGATCTGACACACTCAAATGGGCACGGAAAAAGTTGCGTCGTGCCCTGCAGTAGAACATACGGAGTAGAAGGCCATAGCATTGAGATAGAGAACCACTGTATTCGAATGCCTGGTCTGATACTTGACAGGGCATCGATATTAATTGTAGACAGGAATTATTGTCCTGCAAACCGCTGCTGGCTGAGGCGGTCAGATTGGATGCTCAACCACGTGAGTCAAGCGACAGCAACGCGATCTTCGCCTCTTTTCACTCTCAATCAGCAGCAACATTCGCTATCCCAGCATGACCTTGTCGCCCACGGTGTAAATGCTGGGATGTCGACCGCTGACACGGCTTCCTAGATCTCGCTGCCTTCGCCTCTCCAACCACTTCAAGGTTGACTCCCACGCGAATTCCTTTGTCTCCACACACCTCGCTGCAAATGGCCGATACCTGCAATTGAGGTCGAGGCACGAGACTTCTTTACAGCGAACCCGCGAAAATATCCCTCTTATGCCACACCACGACACCGAGCACGATCCCTACGAGCGCGCAAACAAGAGGCGGCGCATCTCTACAGCCGCTGCCCCGCACGAGGTTGCTCCCACAATGGCCCAGACGGAGGAACAGATCAAGCAACCTCTGCCCGAGATCAAATTGACACCGGCTGAGAACGCTCTCAAGACTCTTCTGCTTGATGTGAAGGACTACATTCGTCAAGAAAAAGAGCGGGAAGGTGGTGGAAGAGCAGATGAGGAGCCAGAACTGGAACTGCGATTTACCGGTGGTTGGGTACGAGACAAGCTGCTGGGGATAAACAGCCATGACATCGACGTCGCAATCAGCACGATGACGGGCTACCAGTTTGGAAATGCTCTGAAGAATTATCTCGACATCCCGGGGAATCTGGAGAAATACAAGCAAGACAGTCAGAACCGCGAGCTGAAGGACGCGATCGTTCGCCTGCACAAGATCGAAGCGAATCCAGAGAAGTCCAAGCACCTGGAGACGGTGACCACAAAAATTTTCGGGATGGACATTGACTTGGTGAACTTGCGGAAGGAGACCTACACTGAGGATAGCCGTACTCCTCAAATGGAGTTTGGGACAGCGGTTGAGGATGCGCTGCGCCGCGATGCGACCGTAAACGCGCTGTTCTATAACCTGAACTACTCCAAGCTCGAGGATCTGACCGGAAAGGGCCTCGACGATATGAAAAATAAGATTATTAGAACACCGCTAGAGCCCTATCAGACGTTCAAAGACGATCCGCTCCGGGTTCTACGGTTGATCAGATTTGCCAGTCGGCTAGGGTATCGCATTGACGAGGACGCTCAAAGGGCAATGCAGAATGAGGACATCAAGCAAGCCCTCAGACTCAAAATAAGCAAAGAGCGGGTCGGCATTGAAGTGGAAAAGATGCTTCGAGGTGGGTGTGCTTAAACCTCATCCATTTTGGCATTGTCTAACTTGAGGTTAGGACCTGATCCCCGGATAGCTTTGGATTACATCGACAAGCTTAGCTTGTACTCGACCATATTTGCAAATCACCGCGACAAAGTCGAAGTCGACACTTCCTCGTGGTCACTTGCTTACAACGCTCTCGAAAGAATATTAAAGATTCCTGACGATGACGATGAAATTGCATCAGCCACTCGTCGCGTCCGTGATATTCTTGTACGGGATGCAACGGAAAGATACTATGCTTGGCTTGTCGCTACATTCTTGCCATGGGCCCCTGTGCCCGCACATGAACAGCCAAAGCCGGGGAAGAAGCCCCCTCCGCCACGTGTAGCTGAAGTTGCCAGAGACAGCCTGCGATCAGACAACAAGACTGTGAACGTTCTAAGCGATGCTGCCACTCATTACCGTGCGGTCAGCGACCTTAAAGCGTCGTTCATAGCGGACAGCATTCCCGGAAGCGGTCCGGAGATAAGGCAACACGTCGGTTTGAGCATACGGTCGTGGAAGAAAGACTGGAGGATGTGCGTCCTTATGGGCATTCTCGATGAAATTGCGGGCGGAGCAGAGTTCCAGAGAGGTAAGACAAGCTCAAGAGCCGATCTACGTAGTGTCCGCTGACTTGGCTCTAGTCGTTCGTGAGTACAATAAACTCCTATCATACGTAGAAAAGGAGGATCTTCTCCAAGTAGACGCATTACGGCCAATTGTAAATGGCGAGGAGATAAAGAAAGCCCTGGGTGTATCTACAGGACCTTGGATGGCTACAGCCATGGAGATGGTGATTCGATGGCAGCTTCTCCATCCTGGGATTTCTGACAAGGAAAAAGCGCTGGAGGAATTGCGCAGTAAAAGAGCAGAACTAGGAATTTAGCGTAGTCAAGCATAGAAAAAGGTGTTGACTGTGAATTAATTAATTAATCCAAGTAAGCCCAGTATAGACCTAGCTCAGAATTTAAGTGGATTATTACCCGCACCATATTTCGGATGTAGCCGTCTCGCTTTCCTAAGGCTTTTAGCAACCTCAAAGCAGTGCTGGTATTTGCTTGGAGCCCGGTGCTTCAAATCAGAATTATCCTCGTACTGAGTGCCTTTTCTTGATGGATACTCTGCGCGCTGCGGCACGTGAGTTCCTCCAAAAAGAGGATCGAGACAGCACCACGGATTTCAGTGCCAGCGCCACCATCACGCCTGGCGCGCTGGACAAGCTTTGGAGGGACATCTTATCGCATGATTCCGGCAGCGACTCAGAGGTAAGTCCACCTGTTTGTAGAAGAGTCGAATAGTGCTCACGATGGGCTCTACAGATATATGAGAATCTCCTGGTCGCGAAGAGTGTCCTACAAGCGTGGGGCAACCAGGAGCTCTCCAACGATGATACAGAGGCTGTGAACGCCCTCTATTCTTGGCTTGCTAAGATTTCACTGCCGTCTTCAGAGTTTGCAGAAGCGCTAGAGGGCGCCTATTCAGCCGACAGTGAGTAGAGCTAACATGCGACGAGTGAGCAATTCTGACGTTTGGCAGAAGAGAAAAAGACTCCGTTATCAGAAAGCCTCAAGGAGAGGCGCTCAAGGTTTTCCTTGAGTGTGTCATGTCTCAGGATCCTCAACGGCATCCTGCCCATTCTCAAAGCAGAAGATGCAGTGGACATCATCACCGCCCTTGCCAGCTTCACATCGGAGCGCGATCCCTGGACGACGAGCAGCAGTCGCCAAGATGCGT